ACAGGTCTCTCCACTAGGCATGCAGTCTCTCTCACGTTTAAACTGGCTGCGCGAGATTTCACTTATCACGTGATAATTATGACTGACAGGATTACGTCGCAGAGCGTCAGTGACAAATCTTGTAAATACAGCACTGCCGCTGAAATTTAAAGTAAAAAAGCGAGTGCACATTCACACGTCCCCTGCACACACACACAGGCTGAAAATATACCGTTAAATCCTTTACTCCGGTAACAGACGTGTTCAGTTCAGCAGTCCAAAAGAGTTAATCTAATCACCATGTATGTTAACAGCAATTTAAGACAAATATAGTGTAATTTAATGGAAGATTATGGGAGAGAAGAGACGGGATTTTGAATGGTGTTCTGAACCGCGACAGACGCTGTGGCGCTGTGTGACTGACTGTGTCCTCTCTGTACTAAAGACATGGCGCTGCTGCACTACCCCCTTGTCTCCTCCGCTACGTATTACTCGACCGTGTCACTGAGAATCTGCAGTCGTGGCGCCGCGGGGATGATTTTTGGTGTTGCGGCTTACCACGAAAAAATGTATGTAGTGGAAACACTGTCCCTGTGAGATAGCCCGACGGGCAGGGCTGGATTATATTTGGTAGCCCGAATGGAAGATAAGATGGCCCCGGGCCGTCGGGCAGGCGATTTTGCGAGCCCTGCAATGTGTAAAGGCTGTAACACTGGCATCATTCAGTCATTCACTGTCTTGTGTGCTCTGTTTTTATCTGGAGGTGTTAAAAAATATATCCACTAGGAGGCAGATTAAGACCCAATCATCACAGACTGTTTTGCTCAATATAAACAGAAACAAACTGTGGCAACATATGAGGAAGTTGCAGCATTGTCTATATTTCAACCATGGCAGAGAAAACAGCAGCAGCGACAATGCAGATGTTATGTCAAGTGGACAAGTCTCTGAGTTTCTCTTCAAAGTGTCCGCTCTTGTGACGATTCAAAGCTGTTGCTAAGCTTACTTTCTGTCCACATCAGTCAAGTGCAGAATTGCATCTGGTGGACAGGTAACATTGATTAGATTAGATTCAACTTTATTGTCCTTACACATGTACAAGTACAAGGCAATGAAATACAGTTTAGCATCTAACCAGAAGTGTATATAGAGGGTAATGTACAATATACAGCAAACTTTATGGATTTAAATTACAAGTAATGCATAATGTACAGTAAACTTATAAAACACTAGTGCAGTGGGATGGAATGAAATGGTGCAGAATATAATAAGATAAGTTAAATGAGTTAACAGATCAATGGATGTAAATAGTGCAAAGATAAATATACAGTATCTGCATATGTACAGTACAGTGGTGTGAAATGAATAACAGAGCAGTATTTTGTGAGTATGTGCAAATTACCAGATCATTTCAGTATTACAGGTAACAAGTATATTGTATTAACCCCGGGAGGAGAGATGAGAAGGGGTGAGGTGTTTGTGTAGTGGTATAGAAGGCAGTGGGGGTCAGCACTCCCAGGTAATGCAGCATGCACAAGGTAGCCATGATGCACACATGAAAATGTTGATAGAAGGAAACATAATGGTGGCTTTACACTTAGGTTGAGCTTGTTTTGTCTTCAGTGTGCTGCTGAGTGCTGTGAGTGGAGAGGACACTCAAGATCGTACTGATCGCCTGCTGCTCACTCCCTGGGTGAAGTTCCTGTGGGAGTCCTACCGCCAGTGCCTGGACCTACTGCGAAACAACTCCAAGGTGGAACGTTTGTACCATGACATTGCCCAGCAAGGTAGTGACACACACTGAATACCTCATTAAATACATTTTACATTGAGTTTCTTTATATCTGAATGTACTGTGTTTTTTTTCCTTCTTCTTTCAAGGCTGAACAAAAGTTGCTGTTATGTTATTTGTGTGAAAAACAAAAACAAACAAAAAAACTTTTTTTAGCCAGTGATGAATTTCATAAACATGTACAGATAATTAATGTTAACAGGTCCCACCTAAAATGCCTGTGTAAATATTTATTTCATTTTTACATAATTTTGGTTAGATCATACCGTTTTGTTTTCTTTAAAGTCTAGTCATGCAGTACTTAATATGACTTTTTTTTTCTCTCGGAAAGCCAGCAGTAACTATTGTTCAATGTAAACTATCTTTTCTGCAGCATTCAAGTTCTGTCTTCAGTACACTCGCAAAGCTGAATTTCGCAAGCTGTGTGACAATCTGCGTATGCATCTGGGTCAGATCCAGCGCCACCACAACCAGAGCACCGCCATTAACCTGAACAACCCTGAAAGCCAGTCCATGCACCTGGAGACACGTCTGGTGCAGCTGGACAGTGCCATAAGCATGGAGCTCTGGCAGGTCTGTCCACCCAACATTGAATCTCTCAGCTGACTTGTGTGCATGTATTAGCCTACTTGGTAAACATTTAATTATATTTAAAAAAAAAATCAAAATGCTTTGGAAAGTGATCAACAGTCAATATACAGCATAAGACATCGAAAAACTGAAAACCTCTAGTTCTTTGATGTCCTGTGGTGTAATTAAATATGCCACACGTGGTCACAGAAAGCTGTGTGTATTCAGTATTGTTTCTTTTTTTCCAGGAAGCATTCAAGGCTGTTGAGGATATCCATGGCCTGTTTGCTCTTTCCAAGAAACCTCCCAAACCTCAGCTGATGGCCAATTATTACAACAAGGTGTCTACTGTGTTCTGGAAATCTGGGAACGCTCTCTTCCATGCCTGCACCCTCCATCGGCTCTATCACCTGTCCAGGGAGATGCGTAAAAATCTGACCCAAGATGAGATGCAGAGGTATCTTATTCATTACCTGTAGATAGGTGCACACATCTTACTCTGGTAGAGACCAGATGGTTAATAAAACTTACTTCACTCTATCTTCAGGATGTCCACCAGAGTCCTCCTGGCCACACTGTCCATCCCCATCACCCCTGAGCGTACTGACATAGCTCGGCTGCTGGACATGGATGGCATCATTGTGGAAAAGCACCGCAGGCTGGCCACCCTTCTGGGCTTGCAGTCACCTCCAACCCGCCAGAGTCTCATCAATGACATGGTACATTACAGTATGTGCACAAGAAAAGAGCTTTGTCAAGTGTTTTAGGTTTCAGCAGTGACCTTCACTACGTTTTGAAACAAGTACAAAAAAGCTCTTAACCATTTGCTTTTACTGATATCTGCTGTCAAATGTTTTAATGTTCTCATTCCAGGTGAGATTTAATTTGCTGCAGTATGTTGTACCTGAAGTGAAAGAGCTTTACAACTGGCTTGAGGTAGACTTCCATCCTCTGAAGCTGAGTGGAAGAGTGACTAAGGTAAACAGTCTGACAGCAGCAAGATTAAAAAGGAGAATGTCTTGTTTGTACTTGTTGTTGCAACTGTATGATAATGAACTTCCTCCTAGGTGTTGAACTGGGTGAGAGACCAGGGTGAGAAGGAGATGGATCTGCAACAGTATGTCCCTCACCTGCAGAGTAATACCATCCTGAGGCACTTGCAACAGGTATTTCTTCTCAGGCTTTTTCAGTACTCTGCAGTATTTTCCTAAGCTGCATCTAAACTAATGGTAGAGACTGATCTCAGTCATGACTCTGCCCATTTTATTTATTTATTTATTAGGTTGCACAGATCTATCAAAGCATCGAGTTTAGCCGTCTGGCTTCCCTGGTTCCATTTGTGGATGCCTTCCAGCTGGAGCGCTCCATTGTGGATGCTGCCCGACACTGTGATCTGCAGGTAATGAGAGATTATGCATATTGGATTTATTAATACTAGGGAGGTACCAATGCTGAAACCACCACTGTACTTGTAAAAGTTGTCCACCAGCACCGATTAACAGCAACATTACATTAACCTCACACTGGCTGAGCTGGTTGTTAATCAGCAGGGAAGAAATATCAGTGGTTCAGGGATATTTTACGATGGAGCCACAGACCGCACGCAGTTTAACATAAGAGCATGCAGACTCGTTAAATCTTTTAATTGCTGATTATGATATGTGCTCCTAAACTGTGATGTTCTGGTCAGAGATTTGTGAAATCATTACATCCTAACATAGGATCACACTCGTACTGTGTAGCAGGCTACACACATTTCAGTCAGTTACATGTTATCCAATAGAAATTGTGGCAGTGCTGTGTTTATCACAAACAGTTGTCAGGTAATTTGTACATAGAATATCCTATGTAATTATTATCAGAAAATAAATCTGATGAAATGAAAAACTATCTCTAAAGTCATTGTAGTAGAAACATTGCATCATTAAGTACGCAGATATCAGCAAGTATTTAACTAAGTATTTGTACTTGGTATGAAAAAAGTGCTATTGGTGCAACCCTAATTAATACCATTGATAATCCAACAAGTGTGTTCTTACAGTCATAATTGCACATGTTAAGATGCGAGTGCTTATTATACTCATTAAACAACTTTTCTAACATTTGGTTTTGTAGGTTAGAATAGACCACACCTCTCGGACCCTGAGCTTTGGATCGGACCTGAACTACTCAACCAAAGAGGATGCTCCTGTTGGACCTTTCCTACAGAACATGCCCTCAGAGCAGATCAGGAACCAGCTGACTGCCATGTCTGCTTCTCTAGCCAAGGCCATCCTGGTTATCAAGCCTGCCTCCATCTTGGTGAGTTCACTCTCATCTCTCATATACAGATCACCTGATCAGTGACAACCATTAGCTTTTTACTTAATTGCACATAGTACTAACATGTTCATATATCTTTATCTGGTATTAAAATCTGATTCATGATTAGTCTGTTTTTGCACTCAAACCTACTGTATTATTCTTTGACTTTAAATGGTATTTTGATGGTTTTGTTCTTTCTCAGCAAGAGCGTGAGGAACAGAATCAGCAGGCCATTGCTGCCTATCTGAAAAATGCCCGCAAGGATCACCAGCGCATCTTGGCTCGTAGACAAACCATTGAGGAACGTAAAGAGCGCCTGGAGAGCCTAAACATTCAGCGTGAGAAGGAGGAGCTGGAGCAGCGGGAAGCGGAGATGCAGAAGGTCCGCAAGGCCGAGGAGGAGCGTCTGCGGCAGGAGGCCAAAGAGAGGGAGAAGGAGCGTATCATGCAGGAGCATGAGCAGATCAAGAAGAAGACAGTGCGTGAACGGCTGGAGCAAATCAAGAAGACTGAACTTGGAGCCAAGGCATTCAAGGATATTGATATTGAGGTAAAATGGAGTCACAATAAAGTTGATTCAGTAGTTTGAACCCCATACTGCCGAAAACATAAATAGTAATATAAATTTTTAGAGGTGAGATTGACAAATTTTTGTGCAGGACCTGGAGGAGCTGGATCCTGACTTCATCATGGCCAAACAGGTGGAGCAGCTGGAGAAGGAGAAGAAGGAACTCCAGGAGCGCCTGAAGAACCAGGAGAAGAAGGTAACTGGGTGATACATCACCGCAGATGTGACCTACAGGTCAGCTGAGTGCTAATTTTTATTTCATTTCTCTCCAGATTGACTACTTTGAGAGGGCAAAACGCCTTGAGGAGATTCCTCTGATCAAAAAAGCTTATGAGGAGCAGCGTGTTAAGGACATGGAACTATGGGAGCTCCAGGAGGAGGAGAGGGTATGCCAAAATTTACAAACATAAATCAAGACTTTCAGGTGAGTATCCAGATATACGAATGAACTTTTCCCCTTTTGTTGTAGATCAGTAACATGAAAGTTGAACGGGAGAAGGCTCTGGAGCACAAGAAGCGCATGTCCAGGATGATGGAGGACAAGGAAAACTTTTTGTCGAAAATAACTGCTGCTCGTAGCTTCATTTATGAGGCAAGACTATGTGGTCCTTCCATTAGTGGACGTGGACTGATATGACTGAGACTGTGGTTTCAGAGTTACTTTTTTGTCTTTGAAGGAAAAACTAAAAGCTTTCCAGGAGCGTTTGGTGGAGGAGAGGAAGAAACGCCTGGAAGAAAGGAAGAAGCAGCGCAAAGAGGACAGGCGCAACGCTTTCCACCGCCAGAAAGAGGAAGAGGCACAGCGTATCCATGAGGAGCAGCTCAAGAAAGGTAATTAATGTGTATGGAGCAAATCGTCTGTGTTAAACAAACTGTGGCCTTTCATATGCCACAGCAAAATGCTGTAGCTCTTGTACTATCCGAGTTTATGTAGTTTTGAAATGAGAGATTTTATTTTCCTGCTCTTGTTACAGAGCGTGAGGAGCGTGAACGCCTGGAACAAGAACAGCGAGAGGAGGAGGAGAGGGAGTACCAGGAGCGTCTGCGCAAGCTTGAGGAGCAGGAACGGAAGCAGCGTGCTCGTCAGCAG